GAATAGAAAAAATGATAACAAAAGCTTGTGGCTTGGACAGAGAGTCCGAGACAGCTGGGCTGTGATTGGCCATTAATTAGAAACAACCACATGAGCCCAATCCCAGATGCACCTGTTGCATTCCACAGCAGCAGATAACCATTGGTTACATTTTGTTCCTGAGGCCTCTCAGCTTCTCAGGAGGAGAAACCCTAAAGAAAGGATTTCTCATAAAAGGTGTCTGTGACACTGCAGTTCCCAGCAGGAGCCTCTGGGCAGAGCCCCTGGGGTGGGCAGGGGGCCAGGCTGGTGCTGGGAGCAGGGGGAGGGGGTCCCAGGCAGGACTGAGCTGATAAGGAGCCCTGATCCCGGTGATTATTGTGGCACACCCGGGGGATGAGCTGGGTGCAGCTCCAGCAAATCCCACTGCGGGCAGGAGCAGGGCTGGAGCTGCTGCTGCCACCGGGGCCACCCCAGGGCCACCCTGGGGCCACCCTGCCCTGCCAGCCTGGCTGGGTGCCCCTCAGCAGGGAGGAGGTCGGGGGTGACATCGTGGCCAAGGCACTGCAGGAGCCAGCAGGACCCAGGGTGATGGTACCAGCCTGGCCTCGGCCTCTAGAGTAGCTCTGTGTGTGTCTGTGTCCCCCTCTTCCTCCTCCTCTTCCTCCTCCTCTTCCTCCTCCTCTTCCTCCTCCTCTTCCTCCTCCTCCTCTCCTGGAGGACCCAGGGGAGCTGCTGTCCATGCTGGCTCTGGTGTGGAGTATTTTTTTTATTCCTTTATTAGGAATAAAGCCCTAAACTGTGGCTTTCAAGGCATTTTAGCCCTTTGTGGGGCTGGGGGCAGTCTGGGACCTCAGTCCTGGGACCTGGCCACCACCAGTGTGGGGCCACGGGTGTGGAGAGACCATGGATGGTCCTGCAGCTTTCTGGGCTGGCTCTGAAATGTCCCTTTTGTCCCTGTCCCTGCTCAGGGTCAGGCTGGGGGGCTGTGGAGGTGCAGGTTGGTGTGGTGAGTCCTTTGGGACAGTGGTGACCCCGTGCTGGGCTCAGGGCTGGGTCACAGTGGCACAGGAGGGTCCCTGGCACCGCTGCTGAGCTGGGCAGGGGTTTTTGTAGGGCTTGGTTGGATGGCAGAACTTGGGGGATGCTCTGCTGCCCCTCAAAGCCAGGAGGGGAGTTTGGCTCCCTTTGCTGCTCCTGGGAGTGGATTCTGCTTTCCTGGAGGCTGCCACGTGCTAATTAATGGTGTGGAACCCCCTCAGGGTTAATCAGGGCTGGGGACATTTGTGACTCCAGCCCCCAAATGGGAACAGCCCTGGTCACTGCAGGGGTGGCACAGAGCCAGGGCTGGGGCACCCCGGGGCCAAGGTGACCCCAGGTGAGCACAGGTGAGCCCCTGAGGGACCCCAGTTCCCATCAGCAGCGCTGGGTACTCCGAGGGGAAATAAAAAATCAGATGCTGCAAAGAGTTGCCATGAGATTGTGAGAGCTGGCAACACCCAATCAGGTTTTTTTTAAATTTTTTTTCTGAAAAGGTTTCATTGTTATTTAATGTCTTGTTTGTGCATTTTTAAATGGAGCAGCTTGAGCTGAGCTTCCGAAACCTTTTCCTTGGGAAATGCAGCAGCTTTGCCCCAAGCTGCAGCTCCTGGGCTGGGCTGTGAGTGCACTTCATCATCCAGGCAGGATTTACCTGCACAGACATTGCTGGGCATGGCACAGACAGGGATGGAGTGTGCCCTGCTTAATGCACCCACTGGAAGTGCCTGGATTCCTGGGGAGGAAAAAAAAAAAATCATCAATTTGCAGGTTTTTTTTTGGCAAAATCTTCATTTAGCAGGTTTTTTGAGGTTTTTTTTTTGGTGGTTTTTTTTTTTTTTCCTGTGGCGTTTTTTTGGTGGGGGGTATTTTTTTTTTGTTTGTTTTTTGGGTTTTTTGGGTTTTTTTGTGTTTGTTTGGTTTTAGTTTGGGGTTTTTTTTTTGTTGTCTTTTTTGGGGGGGTTGGGGTTTTTTTGGGTTTTTTTGGGGGTTTTTGGGGTTTTTTTGGGGGTTTTTTTGGGTTTTTTTGGGGGGGTTTTTTTTTGTCTTGTTTTTTGTTTTTGTTTTGGTTTGGTTTGGTTTTTTTTTTTTGGTGTGTGGGCAATTTTTGCCTTTCTGAGACAGGAAAAAATGGAGCTGAGTTTTGCTGCTTTGCAGCCTGCATGTGTCCGTAACTCGATCCTTCGCACGCAGCGCTGGCCGTGAGAGGGGAGCAGCCTCCCCGGAGCCCTTCTGGGCAGGAGCATCCCGGGAAGCCCCGACCATAACGCTGCTCCTGCAGGGAAACTCGCGTTTCACAGAGGCCGCATCCCCCCGGAGCTGGGGAAACATCTTCCCACAACACAGCCAGGGAGAGAAACGGGGCAGAAGGAGAATAGAGAGGAGCTGGCAGGAGAGGCAGCAGCTCCAGCGCTGGGCTGTGAGCAGGGGCTCAGCTCTGCCTGATCCCAGAGAGCGGCTTTGCAGAGCTCAGCTCCAAAAGCTGTTTCTGCCAGCAGCCAAGGATTGCGTTAGCTGGGAGGTTTAAGAGCCCGGCAAAAGCCCTGGATCATCTCTGCAGGGGGATAAGCAGTTTTCCCCCAGGGTTTCTGCCCAGAACAGATGCTGAATTGGGATTATTTTTTTATATGTATGTATTTAAAAATAAATGTCTTGGATTCGTTCCAGTTGAGGGCCTTGAATTGAAGATTTTTGCAGTGGAAGCAGCACAAGCCCACGCAGGACGTGGCACAAATCAGCAGCTCCCAGCCAGGGGATCCTGCAGTGGAGGTTTATTTAGTGAGTAATTTGATTTCACTGCTGATCCCTGGAGGGACTGACCCTGCCAGGGTGTCCCCAAGGGATCCCCACGCTGGGACAGCACCTCCAGCCCAGATTTTTGGGTGATTCTCTGTGGTTTCTCTGTGTTGTCACACTGCTGCAGGAGCTCTGACCCTGTAGGGATGGAGCAGGAGGAAAATGGCTTTAGAAGGTCCTTTTTGAACCCGAATAGGTGATGCCAGGTGGATTTTGGTGATCCCAGCTGCACTTTGGTGACCCCAGAGGCGCTCCCCTTGTCCTGCACACAGAGCCCCGTGTGTCCTTTAAGGTCACTGCAGTTGAATCATTTCCTGTTTTCCTCAGAGCCTGAAGAGCTCGGAGGCAGGCTGGAAATGTTTGCAGATAGGGTGAACTGCCTGCTCTGGGGCCATGGGAAAAGTGCAGCAGGGCTAAAGGTGCACAGGGAGGGGATGGGGCTGCCCTGGTGTGAGCAGGTAGAGGAGGGCCTTGGAGCCCTGTCCTGGCTGGGGCTGTCACTGATATGATCATTATTCCCCTTTATGAACCCATCTGGGTTCAAGCTACCAACACCACCAGCTGGTTTTTAATAAAGAACTCATTTGCTGAGGGAATCTCTGTGAAATTCAGGAGCAGTTTTGAGTGTGCCTCCATGCCTGTGATGGGCACTGCTGCTGGTGACCCTTGTGTGAGCAGTTTTTGAGGAATGTGGTGGTTAAGGTGAGCAGTTTTTGAGGAATTTGGTGGGTAAGGTGCCCCTCCTGTGCCAGAGGAAAGACTCAATCCTGAGTGATGGGCTCTGGGGAATTCTGCTTGAACAGAATTGGAGATTGGACTTGGATGACCCTCAGTGGTTCCTTCCCTCCTCAGCCATCCTGTGTGTGCAGGCTGGTCATTTTGCATCCCTGATTCTCCCTGGACGCTGGGGTTGGGCTGCTCAGGCTGGTGCTGAGCCCTGATCCACAGCTGTCCCCCCTGGGCATTGCAGCCACAGCCAGGATTGCCCAGAGCAGCTGGGGCTGCCCCTGCACCCCTGGCAGTGCCCCAGGCCAGGCTGGGCAGGGCTGGGAGCAGCCTGGGACAGTGGGAGCTGTCCCTGCCATGGCAGGGGACTGGAACAAGGGGATCTTTAAGGTCCCTTCCACCCCATCTGGAATTCTATGCAAATTCCATCCCCAGCACAGGGATCCCTGGTAGATCACTCTGTGTGACCCCACTCTGTTCTCCTCTGTAAAATCCCTCCTTGAGGGGGTGAAGGAGTTGGGGAGGTTTGGAGTTTCATGGTGCCTTTCAGCCAGGGGGGAAAGGAGGAGGAAATTGCTGCCTGGATTTTTAATTTGGTGGGAAAGGCTGTGAGAGGTTTCCCTGTGAATGTGATCCCAGGCAAATCCTCTCCGTGGGCAGGCAGGGAGCAGTGCTGCTCCTGCTGAGGGAAGGTTAAAACTCCTCCAGGGGCGATGTTTCCCCTGAAGCCTGGGTGAGAATGAGCGCCCTGGATCTCCGAGGTGCCTTTGGCAGGGATGTGGTGCTGTGCCACAGGCTGGAGCTGCCTGGCACAAGGGCAGAGCTGGGAATGTGGTGGCTCCTGAAGACCTGCAGAAAACCAGGAGTTGTTGCTCCCTGGCTGCCCTGAGGAGCCATAAAGCATTTTCCATGGCATGAGGGGAAGCACTGAGCTCCTCCTGTGCCCCTGTGCTGTTCATCCTGCCCAGCTCAGCCTTCCCCAGCTGCAGGGAGCTCTTGGATGTTGGGGTTCATCCCCTCCCAGCAAGGAGGGACTGGGATGATGGCGCCAGTGGGTGATGCTGGTGTCGCTGAGACCAAGGGAGTGGCCCTGCCTTAAATACCTGACTGAGGTTAATCCCAGGTCTGGGTGGGCCTGGCCAGAGCACAGCTGGGCCTCGGTTCCTCCCTGCCCAGAGGGGTCCCAGCCTATGGGTGGATGAATCTGAGCCACTCCTGCTGAAGGAAATGCATTTTTTTGTTTTGTTTTCATTTTTCTGGAGTGCTTTTGGACAATTGGGTTTCGAAAATAGACTCAATGAGAGGAAATCCATTTGTTAAGCTGTCCCCAGGCTGAGGACGGGGGGCAGATACGGCGCTTCCTCGGGGCTCTATTTACAGTCACATCTGCCTGGAGCCACCCCAAAACCATCCATTAACCCCCGGGCCTCATCTCCCCCACCCTCTCCTCCATGAAGCAGGACCTGAACGGCCAGAAGGAGCTGTGCCCACGCCTGTGCCACCTGAAGAAAGGCCCCAATGGCTACGGCTTCAACCTGCACAGCGAGAAGTCGCGGCCGGGGCAGTTCATCCGCTCCGTGGATCCCGACTCGCCCGCAGCCAGGGCAGGCCTGCGGCCCCAGGACCGCCTGGTGGAGGTAACAACGAGGGCTCAGCAGCAGGGTGGGACCCTGGGCAGGCTGGGACAGCCCCCAGCCCATCACCTTCCCCACCCGATCCCCCTGTGGTGCTGTAATTGGAGGGCCAGGGTTGGCACGGCTGCTCCGGCTCTGTGCTTGCTCCTCTCCTCCAAGTGGGCGTTTGGGAGCTCTGGGTGGGATTACAGAGTAGAAACTTGGAGTTGTTCTTAGGCTGGAAAAGCCCTGCAAGACTGCTGAGTCCTGCCATTGCCCCAGCACTGCCAAGGCCACCTGTGTCCCCAAGGTGCTGTGCTGGCTCTGGCTGGCACCAGGGAGGGTCAGGCAGGTGACTGTGGGCACAAGGCCAGGCTGGTGCTGCCCAGCTGAGCTGATGCCCTGCCAGGGAGTGCTTGGAAACATAGGGGAAGAGGCTTTGCAGAGATTTTAAGACACAAAATTATGGAAGTTGGGGGGGGAAGTGTTCTTGGAAGCATCTTGCTGGTTACCATGTGCTGGACAGCGCTTTTTGCCCAAGATGGGGCTGGGAGTTGCCCTCTCTTTGGCTCATGTGTTCTGTTGCTCCTGGAGAAGGAGGTGCCCCCATCCAGAGCTGCCAGTCTGGGCAGACACAGCAGCCATCACCCCTTTCCCTGTGGGAGCACATGAATATTCCCTGCTGGGCAGTTCCCCAGGAGGCTGAACCCCAAAACCACCCACAGGGACCGAGCTGTGGCCTCACTGCCGGCTCAGAGCAGGAATGGATTGGCACCCCTGGAAGAGAGTGAGCCGGGATAATCCTGAGAGCAGAGCTCTCTCCTGCTTTCCAGCCCCATGAGGAATTAGTCCCCAGGCAGTGGGAGCTGTGCCTGTCCCCAGCAGCTCAAAGTTTAATGCTGGGAGCAGCATGGGGCCAGGCCGGGCGCGGGGCACGGGTGGCCAGGCCGGGCTGGTGTCACATCCAGGGGTCCTGTTATTTATTGATGGCCTTGGCCCAGGGCCTGGCACACACAAAGCAGCTCGGGGTGAGCTGGTGAGCTCAGGAACCTGATCCCCTCCCTGCCTGCTCTTTGGGGCTGGGATAAATATTTGATGTCCACAGGCCTGCGCCAGGGTGGGGGCAGAGCAGCCCTGGCATGGATTGGGGTGAGCTGGAGTGGCAGGACAGGGATGGAGCAGGGCTGTGAGCTGGCAGCTGAGGCTGGCAGCACCTGCGATGAGGGGCAGAGCCTGGAAGGGGTTGGAAGGGGCTTCTCCTCAGCCCAGCCCTTGCAGCTGTGCCCTGAGGAGCAGGGGAGCCTCCTTCCCTGCAGAGGGGATCCCAGAGTGAGGAGCCCAGGCTCTGCTCGTCCCTTTGGATGAGGAGGAGCTCTGGGTCGTGCCGAGGCTGTCGGGGCCCTCCCGGTGGGACAAAGGGTGATTCATTCACCGCACAATGTCCTGAGTCACCATTGTCCCCTCCTGCAGGAACAATCGGGCTCGAGTTCCCTGGAGGTCCTGGCTCGCACGCAGGGCAGGGCAGGGCAGGGAGGGATGAATCCCTGCCCCGGGCACAGGGACTCGCCCATCAGGGGCACAAGAATCTCAGGTTTCCCTTGCAGAGGGATGGAGGATGGCACAGTGATGCCCCAGGACACGGGGGTGCACCCAGCCCCCTGTGCCCACGGGGAGCCTGAGATCTGGGGCACATCCAAGGGGAAGGCTGGGCTTGGCAGCACCAGAGAGGGCAGGCAGAGGGTTCTGGGGGGAGCCTGGGCTGTGTGCTTGCCCGTGGATGTGTTTGGGATGCAGCCAGAGGTGTGAGGTAACACAGAGGATGCTCTGGGGGGGGTTTAGGAGAGGGGGAAGGAAAAAGCCTGTAGCCTTCCTGTGATCCCAAAGGAATAAAGAAAGGAAAGAGCCATCCCTTAGGGAAGGAGGGGCTCTGGGAGGCTGGGTTTGGGCTGTGATGCTGTCCCTGTGCAGGTGAACGGGATAAACGTGGAGGGGCTGCGGCACTCGGAGGTCGTGTCCCACATCAAGGCCAGGGAGAGCGAGGCCAGGCTGCTGGTGGTGGACCCCGAGACAGACGAGTACTTCAAGAAGCTGGGGGTGACCCCCACGGAGGAGCACAGCAAAGGTGAGGCCTTCCTTTGCCAGGGTGACTCAGGGCTGGGGTCCCGGGAGCCAGGCACAGTCACGTTTCCCTCCTGCCTCATCCCTCAGTGGTTTCCTGAGCACCACCCAGCTATTTATAAATACTGAGAATACACCCTCCCCCAGCCAAAAAACGCTTTGTTGCTTTTACCCGGTGAATGATTAACTCTGGAACTCGCTGCCACCCGGGCACTGAGGTGTGCTGGGCTTTGGGATACTGGAGCACGGACACTTGCATGTATACACCCAGCAAAAACTGACAGTAAGGTTAGGACTAAGTCTTTTGTCCTTGGCTGTGTGTGGCAGCCATCTCGACATCTCCACTGTCATGCTTTTGATAAGCTACAAGAACGTGAAATTTGGTGGGTGGGTGGTTGGGTGATGATTTCTCATCATCACTGGGGGGACCCTTCAAAGCCAGGTGGGACAGGGCTGCTCCAGTGGAAGGTGTCCCTGCCCATGGTGGGACTGGGTGAGCTTTAAGCTCCCTTCCAGCCCCAGTCACTCCACGATTCTGTGATGCCCTGGTTGCTCTTTTCTCCAGCCAGGGAGCCCGTGGGCACTGCAGAGTCCCCGTGCAGAGGGAAGGGCTCCACGCCGGCTGATCGGGCACGGCTGGGGCAGGAATTGTTCTCCTGGCTGCTGGAACCTGGCAGGGAGAGCTGCTCATCCCCTGCCCAGCCTGCCCTGCTCCAGCCTGGCTGTGCCCTGCTCAATGGGCAGCTCTGTGTTCCCAGCACAGCTGCTCCTTATCTGACTCCCGGGATGCTCAATGGGCAGATTTGTCCCCAGAAATGGGTCAGGCACTGCTGGGGAGCCACAGGGTGTCAGATGCTGCAGGAGGAGCAGGGGCTGGCTGCTGGCACTGCCACAAAGGAGCCCTTGTTCCAGGAGGGGACTGGGGAGGGAGCCTGGGGGCTCCAGGCCCTGCATTCACAAGGAGCAGAGTTTGGCACCTGCCAGGTAGCAAAGGGCTCTGGTAAATTCTGCTGTTTGCTGGGTGAGAGGAAATAATAATAATAATAATAATAATAATAATAATAATAATAATAATAATAATAATAGTCCTCTTGAACTGACCTGCTTTGACCTCAGACTGACACTTCCCAAGCCCTGCAGCTCACCCTGAGCACCTCAGCCTTTAACCAAATGAGTGGCTTTTAGATGAAGTATTTCCAGATATGGCTAATGTGGTTTTGAAGTCCAGTCCCACTTTTCTATTCCTTGTCATCTGAAGCTTTTCGTTTCAATAATTTAAAATTCAGCTACTTATGATACCAGAGACATAATCATCACTTCTGTGTGAGCTGACTCTTCTGATGCTCATTGCTCAGAGCTTATCCTGCTCTAAACACGAGTCCAGCATTCACTGCAATAAAATATTTATTTATAATATATCTGCAATAAAATATTTTTACTGCAATAAAATATTTATATTTATAATATATCCGTGGATCCCAAAGCCACACGGAGGTTTTTGCACCAGCACACTCTCAAAATCACACTTTAGGTTTATTTTTCTGCTTTGCCCCAGAAATTCCTGCAGTCTGCAGTGATGCAGCCCCCAAGCAGTCCCTTGGGAAAGCATCCATGCTTGACATGATTCAGTTATTAATCCTGTCCCAATTAACACATCTGTTAGTCTGGGACAGTGACACAGTAATGCCTGGGGCAATGACTTGATCGTGGTGACTGGCAGCTTAAATGCAGAAAATTTGCCATTGTGTGGGCTATTGTTAGAATAAATCATTGGAAGTGAGCAAAAAAAAAAATTAAATTCCAGAGTGCCTGGAGAGGGGGTTGTGTGGCAGACACTGCTGTGACAACACCATGATGGAGATTTTGATGAAGATTTTTGAGTTGACTTTTAAGATTTTTGATTAAAGAATTTATGAAAAAAAAAAACTAATGGTAAAAAAAAGAAAAAAGGGCAAGATAATGGCTCTAGAAGGAGATTACTTGGTCCTCCTCCTGCCAGGTGTTTTCCTCTGATCAAAAGGGTGAAGTGGAGTGAATTCAGGGGATGTGGCTCTAGAGGGGCACGGGGAGAGGGGAGAGGCTTTGTGTGGCTGGGAAAGAGCAGAAAGTGAAGGGGCAGGGTGAGCTGGTGGGCTGGGAGCAGCAGGAAGGGCTGGGTGGGTGCGGGTGGTGCTGCTGAGGCTGCAGTCCCAGCTGAGGGGCTCACTGTGTGCTCTGTGTTGGTTTGCTGTGTCCAGGTGTGCCACCCCAGCCCATGACAAACGGATCTGCACAGACCCAGGTGAGTCCTCCCCTGCCCCAGAGAGGCTGCAAGGGCTGGAGTGAGCAGGAGGGATCAGGGGCTGTCCCTGCCTCCCTCCTGGCCAGCTGAGCCTGCATGCTCAGGTCCCCAGGGCTCATTCAGCTCTGCTTTACTGCTGCCTGCTTTTAATCGCTGCCTGCTTTAATTGCTGCCTGCTTTTAATTACTGCCCACTACAGCTTTCACTCAGGGGTTGAACCAGGCCGGTTTCAGCCCCATTTGATGCCAGGGAGAGAGGGGCAGGTGCAGTGTCCCAGTTCTGCTGGGGCTGGGGGCTCTGTGGGATCCCAGGGGCTCCCCTGTGTGCAGGGACCCCTCAGCAGCAGCACCCCCTCCCTGCAGGCTCCACTCCATCCCTGGGGGTTGTTGTGTCTGTCTGACTCTGCCTGGCACACACCACACTGACATTTTCCTTTCCTCCAGCTGAACGGGGGATCCACATCTTCATCTCACAGCGACCTGCAGAGCCCTGGCAAAGAATCCGAGGTAAAACCCCCAAACAAACACCTCCTGTCCCCTCCACAGCCTGCTGAGGTGCAGCCCTGCCCCACGGTGCTGTGCAGTGAGGAGGTTTCAGTTTATCTCCCAGGCTTGGGTTCATTGTACCCACCCAGCAACCAAAACCCAGGGTTTGCTCTCATTCCTTGCACTGGGGGGGTTCACTGGCAGCTCCTTTGGAGGTGATTCCTGCTTGGATAGTTGGGAGGTGAAGGGATGTCTGCAGGGTTTGGGATCTGAGGTGTAATTACACTGATGAGCTACAGCAAGGCTGGGAACCCATAAGGAACAGAACTGTGAGGCTCAAGAGCTGCTGTCAGGACAAAAGCCAGAATTTGCTTTATGTAATATTTTTAATTTATAAATTTTTTTTGTTTGTTTGTTTGGAGCACAGTGAATTTATCAGAGTGTTTAAAGGAGGGGAGGAGTTGGTTTTGGTGGCAGGCTGGGCTGAAGGGGTTTCTGTGGTGTGGCTCAGCACTGGAAAGGGGCAAAACTTGTTGGGCAAGGTGAAGTGGCAACCAAAAGTCAACACAAGGCATAGATTGGCGTTCTCAGGCGTTAATAATTCAGCAGGTTTTTTTCCTCCTAAAATAAGAAGTGAGGATTTGCAAAGCGCACAGAAATTTCTCTTTAGCACAAGGTTCTGCTGTAAATAGAGCAGAGTCTCCATGCTGTGCCCTGTGGGGTCTCTGCCATGCTGTGCCCTGCCCCAGGAGCCTTGGGAGCAGCAATGTGCCAGCCCCAGGTGTGCTCAGGTGGCCTCTCTGAGCAGCCAGAGCCTCTCGGGCAGCAGCTGTGCCAAGCGCCTGCAATCTGCCCCTTTCCCTGTGAGCCCTGAATAATGCATGTCCTGATGCAATGGTCTGCCCTGGGAGATGCAGGCTGTGCCCTGTGCTCTGGGGAGCCTTGTGTGCCCCCCTGAGCCACCCTTGGGCTGCTGCAGGGGCACTGCACCACCTGAGGGGCTGTGGGCACTGCAGTGCCATGGCATGGGGTGATCCTGGGGCTTTGCAGCCTTGGGGATGCCCTGAGGGGCCCTGGGCACTGTGGCATGGGGCACAGCTGGTGATCCTGGGGCTTTGCAGCCTCTCTGTGATGCCCCGAGGGGCCCTGGGCACTGCAGTGCCTGGCAGTGCTGGCAGCTCTGTCCCTCCCAGGACGGTGACACGGACAAGAAGGACCCGTTTGAGGAGAGTGGGCTGAGCCTGAGCCCCACGGCGGCCGAGGCCAAGGAGAAGGTGAGGGCCAAGCGTGTGAAGAAGCGAGCGCCGCAGATGGACTGGAACAAGAAACGGGAGATTTTCAGCAATTTCTGAGCCCTGCTGGCCGCTCCCCTCCCGCCCAGCTCGGACCTTTCTGAGGTGCCTACGCCCTGTCCTTCGGTGTCCACGTGAGATGCTTTGTGCTCTGCTCTTCACTGGTTGCTTTTACAAAAGGCGTATTTTAAAGCCCTTTTTATTTTTATTTTTTATTATTATTGTTGTTGTTGTTGTTATTATTATTATTATTGTTACTCACCAGCGATTCTCATAAGAAAAATGTGACCAAAGCTCCTTTTCTTGCTTGCTCTGAGCCTGGCTCCGGCTGCCTGCCGTCCCTGTTCCTATGAGAAAGGACTGGAAGAATTTTAACTCTTCTTTCTTACCTGCAGCATTTAGGCTTCTGTTACTTCTTCTTTTTTTTACTTTTTATGTGGGGTGTTTTGGCTTTGCTGGTGTCCCAGGCTGAGCCCTGTGGGATGCTCAGTGCCCCTGTGGAAGCATCTCATGGCTCATGGTGGGGGTGCCAGGAACCCTCTCCCCAGCTCCCCAGCATGGGAAAATGGACTGTGGCTGGAAATTGTTCGTTGGCTTTGCTGTTGAAGCAAAAATATTTGTTTTGTTGGGTTGTTTTTTTTGTTGTTGTTTTTTAATGAAGTCCCATGTGTTTCCAGTTAGTTTAGGAACCTCCCCCTCACCAGCAGCTCCTGCCCAGGCAGTAAAAGCCCATTTTTCACCCCAAGCAGCTCTGCAGAGGGGAGAGGGTGGAGTTTGAAAGCAAACCCCAGACCCTGAGAACACAGCTCTCCTCACCTGCAGCCGTGGATGTGCCAGGGGAAGGAGGAGCAGGGCCAGCCCTGCCCCACGGAGCACGAAGATGAGAAAACCACGAGATGCTACAAAACCCCTTTGGACAGGCCTGGCAGTGGGGCTGGCCCCACACCTGCTGCCAGGAGGGAGCCCAGGGATGCAGCTCCAGCTGAGGCTCAGCCCTGGGCACTGGGGCTGCTGCAGGTGCCCCTGGGCTGGCTTTGGTGTCCCCAGCCCGGCAGTGTCACCCTGTGGAGGACATACATCCTGCACAGGACATCCTCCAAAGGGCATCCTCCAAAGCCCTGGGGCTGCAGGTGGAGCAGGCTCTGCTGTGATGGAGTGGGCAGCGCCCCTGGCCTCCTCCAAAGCCCACTCTGGGCATTCAGAGTGTACCTAAAGCACTACAGATCAGTCCTTTAAGCTCTTTATTGTTGCCTCTGGCCGTGTGGGTGACTCAGCTGAGCTGCAGCTGCCAGGGAGCAGAGCTGGGTTAGCAGGGCCGGGGCTGGGGCTGCCCCAGTGCCTGCCCTGCCCCAGCAGGACCCCAGCCCTGCTCTGGGAAGGGGCAGGGAGCACAGAGCCCCTTTTGCCAGCTGGGGGCAGGCAGCAGCGACCAGCAGCCCGTGGATGGGGGGTGAACGGAGCTGGGGCTGTGCCCTGCCTCCCCCAGCCCCTCTGGGATGGAGCCCTTGGCTGGGCAGCGTGCTGTGGGTGTGGGAGCAGCTCTGCACGCATTTCCTAAGGAATCTCCAAATCGTGGAGCTAAAAGGTGCCTTATGCCATCCTCTGCTCTCCTCAGCACTGGGTGTTTGGCCGCCCTGGGCAGCAGCTGGTGCCCGTGGCCTTGTGCTGCTGGTAGGAGAGTGTGGAGAGCCTCAGGGGTGAAGGAGATGAGTTCTCTTTATGAAAGTTATCTTTTAGGATTGTCGGTGGGCTGAACAGGTTGAAAATAATGACTTTGGAGAGGAGCTGGTGCAGGTGTTTGGCTGTGGGTGACGAGACAGGACATGGGGGTGAGGGGGACGTGGAGAGGCTGCCTCCCCTCGGGGCTCTGCCATTAACAAGACACCTCTGCCCCATCCCACTTCAAGCTACCTGCTCTCCTTCTGGCCCCCCCAAAATACTGTTTTCTCTCTCTGGGTAATGTTTGGAAGGAGCCCTTCTTTCCCATGCTGTGCCCACATTGCCAAACCCCGGCAGCGCCCGGGCTGTGCAGGGCAGAGCAGCCCCAGGACACCCTGGTGCACAGCAGAGAGCACAGACCTGGTGTCAACGCCCCATTCCTCATCCCAGACTGCTGGTCGAGGTGGGGGGAAGGAAAAAAAAAAAACCTTGTGTAGTGTTGAATGTAGATCAAAAGAAATCAGGTGTGCAAATCCGTGTTGGTAAGATTGCAAATCTTAATCTGTTAGTCCAAGGAAACTGCTCCTGGTTGAAGCATTACTGCATTCCTGACATCTTGTTGTAGCTCAGTAGTAATTATTCAGTTCCTGTACATTTAACTTGGAAAAGAAAAATCAATAAAGTCTAAGGCTGGCAGCAGCATTGCAAACCCGTATGTACACTGTAATGTCAGTAATAAACTTGGTTTGCCATGTACCCAGCACTTATCTGCTCCTTCCTCAGCTGCTCAGGGAGCCCAGAGCGGAACTGCAGCCCTCCAGCACATTGTAAACTTTGCTTCCTCTTCAGAGAGGAGCTGGAATTACGCCTTTGAAGCTCCACAATGAAGTCAGCACTGCCCTTTCTTTGAAGAACAAAACGCAGGGGTGGTGCTGTCCCTGCCAGCTCCCGGGGACACAGCCCGGCTCCCGTGGCTCTGTAACCCTTGTGGCACACACAAGAGTGGCACTGGCTCAGCTCCTGGCCCTGCTGTGCATCACCCACGCCCTGTGCTGCTGCCAGGACCCAGGGATTGCTCATCCAGGCAGGGATTCCTCTGCTCCTGCCTTGGGAAGGCTTCAGCTGCACCTTGGGATCACCAAGGCTGGAAACGATCTCCAGGATCATCAAGTCCAACCTGTGCCTCATCCCTACCTTGTCCCCATCCCCAGAGCTCTGAGTGCCACATCCAGGCCTTCCCTGGACCCCTCCAGGGATGGGAGCTCCACCACCTCCCTGGGCAGCCCCTTCCAGCGTTTAACAACCTTTCCCATGAAGGAATTCCTGCTGCTGTCCACCCTGGATGTCCCCTGGCCCAGCTCCTGTCCTGGTGGCAGCACAGCTGGTTCTGTGGCAGGGCAGGTTGCCATGGTTCAGCCCTGCTCAGGTCACCCACGTTCTCCTCCCCTCAGCCAGTGTCACACAAATGCCAGCAAACCTCGTGGGTGCAAAAAGCCCTCACCACCTTTATTGAACGAGTATTTACAAGCAGCAGCAGGTCCCTGAGGACAAAGCTTTTCTCTCCAGTGACTCAGAGTGGCACAGCTGGGCTGTGCTCAGCCATTCACCCAGGCTGGAGCCCGCAGCTCAGTCCCAGCAGGATTGCTGCCTCTCAAAGCCCCTTTTTCCTCTGCAGAGCTGAGCCATGGCCAGTGGCAGCAGGCTCCTGTGCCCTGCAGTCACACTGCCAGCCCTGTGCCAGGCCCAGCTTCAGCAGGGCCCGGCCCAAGCAGCTCTGTGGCTCTCCCAAGGCTGGATGAGCCCTCAGAGTCTCTTGGCAGCAGGGCAGATGTCTTGGTTGAGGCACTGGCTGCAGCGAGGGTTCACAGGCAGGCAGGTCTGCTGGCCAAAGCCCACCAGGAGCCAGTTTATCTCCTTCCAGAGGTCCCTGCAGTCAGGGGACAAACAGCACCGTTGCCATGCAGCTGCTTGGAAGGGGTGAGAACAGCCTGTGGTGCTAATGGGATCCCTTTCTTCCCCCTTCTGCCTGTCCCTCCTGGAGGTGAGTCCCAGCCCTGCCAGCCCTCCCAGGTCCCTGCTGGAACAGCCCTCCCAACCCTTCCTGGTCCTGCTGGGCTGGGGGGAGCAGTGCCTGTGCTCAGGCACGTGCCAGGCGTGGGGATGTCCCTCTGTGCCAGCTGGTGTGTGATACTGAACCACCAGTGAGGCCAGGATCCAGCCCTGGGCTGATGCTGCTGCTGTGGGCTCAGCAAGGAACAGCACCTGGCTTGGGTCATGGTAAACCTGGCAAGGCAAAAATCAGGGATCAGGAGCTGCACTGGTGGTCACTGACCCATCTGACAGCAACAGAGCCACCACACAGGTGAGAGATGCTGCTGCCATGGCTCTGGCAGAGGGGAAACACCTGCAGCTACTGCGACCCTGGAAGGAGGAAGGAGCCCAAATGCAGGCCCTGAAAGTGCCCCAAGCAGGGCTGTGTCAGCCATGGCTCCTGCAGCCAGCAGGGGCTCACCTGGGCAGCCACTCCTCCAGTGCCACCCGAGTCTGCTCGGGGCTCTTGGTCTCCTTCTGCACCCACTGGAGCCTGTTGGAGATCCTGTGCACGTGGGTGTCCACAGCTGGGGAGGGAGAGCCAGAGTTCAGGTGGGGCAGGCACAGCTGAATGGAGAGAGCAGAGCCCCAGTGCCCGTGCCAGCCCCCAGGCTGGCCCTGGGCAGCAGGAGCAGCCAGCTGGGACAGAGCACGGGGCAGGGCAGGCTCACTCCAAGAACAAACATTTTCTTCCCAGGCCTGGAGCCAAAAGCATTTGGGGTGGGTGTGTGTCTGTCTCTCCCCAGGCTCACAGAGGCCGAGCCAGCCTCTCCCAAGGCTCCCCAGCCCCATGGAGCAGGCACAGGCCTGGCCCCTGTTCCCTCTGCACGTTCTCATCCTCCCTGAGTTTCAGCTGAGTTACGCAAACTGTGATCTCTGCCCCTTCCTCTGCCCGCATGGAAAACACATTTCATAATACCCACCAGCAGAGAGGGCTTGGGAGGCTTACAGCAGTGTTTATAATGTGCTTTGAGCTCAAAAGCTCTGCATGCAAAGTGTATTATTGTTAGATCAGCAGTGATAAACCTGTCTCTGGGGCTAATTGGGCAAAACCCAGGAAATTGCTGTAAACAGGAAGACTGAGCCTTGCCTCCCAAATCAAACCTGAGCACACAATTATTTGGAAAGCACTTGGCTGGTTTGGCTGCCTCTGGACTTCCCTCCCCCACAGCAGGAGAACAACAGACCCCAAGGGCTGCTGGATGCAGGGCAGGGGCCACAGCCTGTCCAGCTGATGGTCACCAGAGGGGCTGCAGGATGCAGCTCCTGCCCACCCGCTGCTCCTGGCTTTCCCAGGGCTCTCCCATCCAGCAGCACATCCTTCTGGAACACTCATCTGTCCCCAGGACCTGCAGGTGATGGTCCAGCCCCATCTGGCACCAGCCCCCCAGGGCTGTGACTTCCCCTGGGAATGTCTGTTACCAGATTTGGGGAGAAACAGCAGCTGCTCACATCCTACAGCTCCCTGAGTGAGTGCTGAGGGTCACATCACTCCCCTACCCAGATACTGAACCAAAGGGATCTTACCAGGCTGCTGGGGCTGCACTGCTGCCCCTCTGCCTGGGAATGGGCTGGGATTTAGGAGAGGGATGGCAAAAGCACAGTGCAGGTTACCTATGCCAGCCACGCTGTCCCAGGCAATGTGCATGGCCAGATGGGCCATTTTGGGCCCAACTCCTGGCAGCTGCACCAGCTCCTCCACCGTGCTCGGGATGTCCCCCCCATACTTCTGCTTCAGGATGGCTGTGGTCTGCTTGATGTACTTCACCTTGTTCTGCAAAACCAAGGGGAAAGGCACACAGTGCAAGCTGCCCTCCAACACAGGGAAAACAGACACACAGCCCAGGAGAGCAACCATTCCTGAGCGTGTGTTACAGGTGAGGCCACACATGGGAGCTGTGGAGGAGACAGAGCCTCGACTTCTACACGAAATCAAAATGCTGAGAGCTGGGAGCTCCAACCTCCTGCACACTCCAGGCCCTGCAGCCAACAATCCCATCCCGCTGGCAAGACAAAGCACCAAAACTGGTGTAAAATCCAGCTTCTAGCCTGACTCCAGGGGAGAGAGGAGGGCACAGGGGTTCCTCTGTGTCCATGTGGCAATCCTGCACTCACCTGTCGCTACAGGACACGAAACAACATGGTGCAGACACACTGCTCTTTCCAAGGCAAAAAGAGACTTCTTAATTTTTGACTCTAACATTTATAGACTTCTAAAAGTGACAGTGGATTGGAGGGTGACAGTGCCACCTCTCCAATGACACTGGACAAACCAACAACGCACCAAATTTCTCTTCTTCCATTAAAATTACCAAACAGTAAGTTATTTACATAAAATGCTCAAGAAAGTTCGCTACACGAATGTAACCATCAAAAAGCTTAGAAAACCTTAAAAGATGAGAGCAACACTGACCCTCCAGAAGCCCACGGGGTAGATGATCTGGCCCAGGCTCTCCTCGTCCATCTGCAGCACGCTGTCCACGGTGAGGCCGCGCCGGCGCAGGCGCAGCATGGCAGCGCTCGTCACCTGGTCCTTGGTCTGGCTGGACAGCATCAGGGCCAGCAGCACCTGGTAGCGCATCACCTGGGGACACAGGGGACACTGACACAGCCCGGGGGCATCCCCCAGCTCTGCACCGCCCTCAGGGCGGGGTGTGCTCCCACCCTTCAGCCCTATGCAGCTCCGAGAGGCTGCAACAGGAATAATCCATAACCAACAGGAATAATCCATAACCAACAGGAATAATCCACAACCTTCTGATTCCACCACACAATAAAGGGAGAAAAGAAACACCTTCAAGCTCAGCTGTCAGTTCCTGTGAGAGGGCAGGGAGCAGCTCTGTCTGCTGGCATCTCTCTCCAAAGATGCCAGTGCTGAGCCACAAAGGGCTGGACAAAGCTTTCCCTGAGGATGGCATTCCCAGGAGAGCCACAGGATGCACACTGGGCACAAACACCCAATGATTTTTCATGCAATGTCTGCTCTAAGCAGCTTTTGAAAATCCCAATCCTTTCCCACCAGGCTTCAGTAGGAATTGGGTGTCTGGCTCCAGTGAGCTCCTCAGGGAACCAAATGTGAACAACTGGGATCACAGAGAATGGGAGAAGGAGGACAAATCCCAGGGATTCCTCTGCTGCTGCCACACAGGGTTTAGCCAGGCCATCACCTCCTATTTCCCAATTCTTTCTTCCCAGATGCGATTCCATCCCACCAGAGTGAGGAGGATGATGCAACTAACCCAAAATGACCTGGGCTAACATGGGACACAATCCTCCCTCCAGCTCTCCTGCAAAGTTTACAAAACCAGGTGCACCAGGAAAAATCCCTGTGTGTGTGGAAGCAGGATAATGTCAGGGTACAAAGAAATGGTGTGAGGAGCTGAGGGTTACAACATCCACTTTTTCTTGGAAGCAACAACGCAGCTTCCCCAGGGAAGAGAAGCTATTTCCATGTCAGCCCACATGGCTGAGAGCGTGTGATGCTCCCTGGCTCCGGGGTCACAGCTCATCCTTCTCCCCAGGGAGCAGCAAGGACAGCATTCCCTGTGCCAAGGCTGTCCAGCTGTGTCCTCCAGAGCCCTCCCTCAGAGCCCAGCTCGTCCCACTGCTCCTCTGGATGATCCCCACATTCCCACTCCAGAGGCTCCTGCTGCTCCAAGTCCATG